GTTGTTTCAATTAACGAACCCTTTTTTTCAGCATTAACTTTCCACTTTGATGGTTAATGTGCCGCCGCTCATTGGAAATGTCAAATACTTGACAGTGACAGTTATGAAAGGCCGAGTACATAAAAGACAAACATGAGGATTCTTGCAGACATTTGAGCTGTTTGGTTTTTTTCCACATCAAACGCCAGGAGTTTCTCTGATCTTCATTTAAAAACACAAATCATCTGTTATTTTCTCATCCCCTCCCCCACCGTCAGGTTTCTCCTGACAGAAGAATACGACCAGGAGCTTTTTCAAATGTTGCAGCTCCAAACCAGAGCAGACCGTGTATTCCCTTCGGGGGAAAGACGAGCACGGCAACAAAAACAAGCACCTCTCCCCTCGAATGGAGCTAAACCGCTGACCCGATGTGGATCTCATATCTCGGCAGCGTCTCCCCGAGCTACAAATATATGTGTTTGTACTTTTCCATTTGATTTGGGGTCAGCGGTCAGGGACGATAATGGAGTAAACATCTTTTAGCTCCCGCAGTGTCTGGCCGACTGGAGGAAAAGAATAACTTTTTGGAAACTTTTTCTGTTATGTATTTATGAATAACTCTCTGCGCGTGTGTGTGTGTGTGTGTGTGTGTGTGTGTCATGCTGCAACATTGCGCCCCGAGGGAGATGAGGGCAGATGATCGTCCGTCTCTCTCTCTTCTTTGAGCTTTGTGCTGCTTTTCAGATGAAATGATCAGAGTGGCACCACGCGGAGCACCAAAAGAGACGAAACACAAAGCGCCTTGTGATGCACAAACACAATGACAGCAGCTGAGCACAAACTCTGTGTCCTTAATTTAAAAAAAAAAGGCATTGGACATATTTGAGTATGTTGGTGAAACAGTAAAAGTAGAGAAGCCTTGGCCGTCTGGTCTCTAAACTCACGCTACCTGCGCGACGACCTCATTTTTTGCATTTTCAGAGTTCCCTTGAGTCTCATGGACACATTTTGCATGCTTGCATGATCAGATGACCTGACCAATAAAAGACTCCTTGTTGCAAATAGCACAAAGTAATGAGAAAAGAAGTGAGCCACTGTTTTCAACCTCACAAATCCAATGTTCATGTTTTTCCTTTTTGTCTCTCCTACTTTTCCAATTCTACACTAAATCAATGTGTGTTTTGTGTGCGTGCAAATGTTTTAGATCCATACCAGCAGATTTATTCTTTTTCAGTGACTCCAGCCCATAAACCTGTGTGAGCCTCCTGGCCCTCTTCCTCCTCCTCCTCCTCCCCCCAGGGCTGCGTGGCTCCGGCATCGAGCTCCCGGTGCCCTCAGACGGCGGTGTGATGGGTTCGTGCAGCGCCGCCGCCGCCGCCGCCTCGGGGGCCCCGCAGCAGCCGTTAGTGCTTAATGAGCTGCCTGCGCGGCGGAGATTTAGAGACGCACGGCCGAGTGGAGCCACAACAAGGGGCCCGCTTTCTGCGATTCATCTTCCTTTTAATTGGGAGCGTTTTCGTGCGACCGCCTCCTCCACATTAAGCCAAAAGCCCCGAAGCGGTTTCCCCCCAAAAAACTCATCAAAGCAGGAAGGAGGTGAAGGCCGAGCCAGGTGTCGCTGAGCAGAGAACACATCCGGAGATGTTTCGCCTCTTTCTCCTCGCGTCTTTCCTCTTACGCGTCTTCCTCAGCATCATCAACGTCATTTTCTGCAGCTGAATTATGGTTTGTGATGATTACTCAACAACAACAACAACAACAACAGCAGCTACATAAACCTGCAGCTTATAGAACATGAACAACACTACTTCAGATTTGTATTACTGAATAAAAAACTCCTCTTAAGGGTGTTTAGTTTAATGATTTTCAGAACCGGCTGACGTCTTGTTAAACCAGCCCCCCCCTCCTGAGCAATGTCTTGGAAAGAGCACACAGCAGAGCTACAAAGGGGGCAGCTTCTGCAGCTGGGGCTTTTTGGAAACTGAGTGGTGATTCATTCCGGCAAATTGATTTCATTTCTTCTGCTGATAATCACCCCCCCCCCCCCCCCCCCCCGTCCCGCTCTCCCTTTGTGCCAACATACGCCGAAATGGCTTTTGAAAAAGACAAAGTCAAAGCAACCCATCTCCCCCGGCCCTCACGTGCAAAGCCGTGCACGGTGACTACGCCGCGATTTCAACATCGCAAACTGCAGCTCCCAACAGTCCCCGTGGAGTCACATCTGCATCTCTCTCTGGACCGGCTCTCCATCGCCTCTCGTTGGCTGTTTTAGATTGTCGCAGCTATTTTCACCCACCCATCTTGACGGGTAATTGTTGTGATTGCAGCCGAGCTAGAATCGGTGTGTGTGTGTGTGTGCATCAGCACGTGTGCCGGCGTCTGTTGAGGAACATTTGCAGGAAATGCTTATCGGCAGTAGACCAGCCCACGGACACAAACTGGGCCACAACGTGGGTTTTTAAATTGAAAAATAGGACCCGCACATCAGATCACACGAGCTGCTGGACCTCTGGCCGGGTGGCTCAGCACCCAGAGGGCACCCAGGGGAGCTGAGCTGATGCAAGGCATGTTTCATGGGGAGACGGGCGTGATGGGTTCGCGCGTACGTCTTTCATGAGATTTACATGAACAAATTGGCCGTTGCGTCAGGCTGGCTTCCCACCTGTCGTTGAATCCCCTCATCCTTAAGAGCACATCCAACATTTAGGAGACGGCCCCCCCGGACGAATCAATCATCTTCAATGTCCGACGTGCAAAAATTGGGTCGGCCGCAAACTGGAGCTCATGCAGAGGATCTGAGTCACCAGGAACCAGGAAAAAAACAAACTTTATTTGTTCCTGCCCTGGATTTGATTGAGGTGTTGGAACCAGCGTATCCTCGTATCCACGAGTTCTTAATATATCCTGTGAAAAGGTTTTCGCACTTGTGGTACATCCTCTTACAAGTGTCCCATAACTGTGTCGGGATTACTCACTACGGACTGGGCCGATTTCCTGTTTGAACGGGCTGTGAGTTCCACCCTCGGGTGCAGGGTGTGTTAGCTTTGTTATCACTTATGGGTCACACCGACCAGCAGGTCAAGAGTGGTGTAGAAGAGTCAGAAGTCAGTCAATGTCGGATAATTACTCATCATAGTGGCACAGCTACGCATGGATTTCATATTCCGAGATGCATTTTGAGTTTGTCCCGGCAAAAGTTGCTAATATATAGAATTAAGTACCAACGCACAGTCATTGCAGACAAAGCTGTTACACTGCGGCATTAGGACTGCTGTCTGGGAGGATTAAACACACACACACACACACACACACACCCACGTATCCCTGTACTTCTTTTTCACTCACACACTCGTGAGAATGTCAAGTCGCCTGGATGAGACTGACAGTCACCGGGGCGACAGGATCACACTCAAGGTGCAGTGCACAGGCAGCCATTCCCAGCCACCATGTGTGTGTGTTTGTGTGAATGAGTGCACATTTTCTTGTGTTGCATTATTGTGAAATCACTCGGTGACATGCTTCGCTCTCCGTCTATCTGTGTAATACATGTTACGTAGGCGCGTGTCACGCAACCTGCCCTTTTCTCACACTTTTTACGTAAACGTCACAACCATCACCGGTCTGCGTGAAGCCTAAAACACCCTCAACCGCCAAATCTGCGTTTCTCAGACTCCGAACGGGGATGAAAGTTGTTTCCCTTAATGGACGCGACACCTGTGTGTGAAGAGGAAAAAAAAATGGAATGCAAATCCTGAGTGTTTTGTTTGCCAACGGCGAGTCACAGCCAGCGTGTGATTTCAGCCGTGTTATTCTCGCTGACGGGTGGCAAACACGTGACAGACAGATATAGGAGACACTCTGTCCATGTCTGATGACACAAACAAAGGGAAGTTGAGTTTTTCTTTTTTAATTTTCTTTAATATTAATTACAAAACCAAAGAATTGCCCACTTCCTCCACCTGAGTCTATATGATAATTCACTGTCACCCAATGAGAGGAGGTTTCCCAGCCAAAAGGTACGTCTCTAAACAATCTCACTTTGTGCTGTTTGCTAAACAGCATTAAAACAAAAACGGTAGACGTACAGTAAAAGTGTGTAGCAGTGTGCAGATCGAAATCACTCCATATACAATCCACAAAAGAGCAGTCAAAACCACGAAACAGACAGTCAGTTTAATATCAGCCTTCTCCCACCATCGTACATTCGGACCGGCCACGCGAATCCACCTGTTTTAGTAAAACGGGTCTCGCTTCCATCACCCGTGACCTTTTTAAAACCTGTCAGTCCTCCTTCCGTGATCCGAGCTCACGGTATCGATTTGACAGTCGGTGCATAATCTGCTGTTGGCTTTATTGGCTTTTGGGAACTGAATGTTAAAACGTTGCATATTTGACACTTAAATAAATATATAATTCCATTTTGGGCACAACCTTGACTTCTCGTCAAAGAACGGGACACGGAAGCAGCAGTTATGGTTAAAACATGAGAATTTAAGGGGTGAAATCTGCTCAGTTTCTGTTCTCCGCCAGCTCCTCCTAGAAGCCCCTCCATCGCTTAGTGTGCCAGTCTGATAGAAAACTAAAAGGTGCAGGCTGCAAGATGCTAACACAGCTAACGGTCACATAAGTGTTAAAATGTTTTAAATGCTTAAAAGTATTTTTTTACCCGGTGTTTGAAAAATAACCCACCCTTTGGTTGGGCCCCCCCCCCCCCCCCCCCCCCCTCTCAACACCATTAAACAAAGGCAACCTGCTGGAGGTGAATGCTATCACATCAGGTGCGGAGGCAGGAGTCACGCGGTCCTTCTGCACGTAATCGCGGGTGGAGAACGGAGCCCCGCTGCCAGCGTGAGATAGCTGCAGTCAATAAGGATTTGGGCTCTCGGACGAAGACTCCGTGTGACGTTAATCGCCAAGAGAAAAAGGCCCCCACGAGTCCAGATGCCCGATAACAAATGTTGCAATGGATTGCAACGCGCGTGATGCCATTCGGGTGGCGTAATAGAAAACGTTTTTTTTTTCCCCCTTGTTTGGAACCTAAACGCACCGCCGGGTGAAGCCCCGAAAAGCTGAGCGGCAGGTCCGGCGTCCGCGAGCGCGCCGCCGCCGCTGCCGCTGCCGCCTCCACTTGTGAAAGTCATTACCCCGTTAATGGCGCCACAGTACTTCACAGGGTCTCGGCTTCTGCTTCAATTACGGTTCAATCCGTCCACTGTGTCAACCCAACACTCAAAGCGGGCGGAGGGGGGGCCGCTGCCTCAGAGACCTGACGGTGATTACTGGTTCCTCGCTCCCCGATCAGGAGTCACTCAAGTCTGGTTTGTCTCTCCCAATCTCCCTAAACGCCCCCGCGCTTAAGAGAGAGAGAAGGCGGGCGGGGGAGGCGGGCGATGAGAACAAACTCGGCCCTTTATTTTTCCACCTTCCCTTCTCCGCACGAGGGGGAAGCGGTGGAGCAGCAGGAGGAGGAGGAGGACGAGGAGGAGGAGCAGCACAGACGACGAAACGAAGGTCCGACCGTCGCCTCGGAAATACAGATCAGAGAAAAAGAAGTGACGTTTTGGCCATCGTGGGGGGGTCGGGGGTGAGAAGTGAGACGTGCAGGCAGAGGGTCGAAGCAGGTCAGATGACCCCGTAGTCCCTGAGGGACTTGATCAGAACCGTGTCCTTGACGTCGCTGAAGACCTTGCGGATGTTGCTGGTGTCCGTGGCGCAGGTGAAGTGCGGGTACAGAGTCTTCCACTCCTCCCTTTTGTCGCGGTTGGCGGCCTGCTGCTCGTACAGCTTGCGGATGTAGTTCTTGGCGTCCTCTGGGTTGCGCTGATTACCTGTCGACAACGAATTCGGGTCGGGATCAGCGGAGAGACAGAAAATGAACTATTATTCTACTACTATTGGTGGTTTTTAAAAGGAAAATCGAAACGGTTCAAATCAACTATTTGTCCTAAGTGATAATAAATCAAATATTGCCGGGGGGGGAGGGGATTTTGATTGATCGACAGTGAAATTAGCCGTTCATTGTAGCCTGAATAAATTGATTAACCTGGTTTAAAAGCGCAGACGGAAAGGGAAGTAATGAGGAAATTCTGGGTAGAATGAGGTATAGACTTGTAACCATAGAATGAAAGCACAACAGATTCCAGTTGTACACTATTATCGAACCAAATTACACGCTAGGCGATAACACGGAAACACATTCTTCACAATATTTTGCGATGGAAGAAAAGCTCATTCAAAAATGCTTTGCTTTATAAAATCCCAGCCGCAGGTATTCGTAGTGATAAAGAGCAGTCGGAGCTCACAATTACAAATGGAATGACAACTATTATCGGCAGCTTTCATCACCACGGGGGTGGATTGTTGGTACCGACGGTCATTTTGGCGAGTTTTCCTCTTTTTTTTTTTTAAATTTAATGGTTATTACAGAGAGGACTACCTCCGTTATTGTAACCGGGATGCTGTGATGACGTGGAAGCAGAAGCTATTATTTCAATGAACCTCTGTGATGTCAAATGTTTAAAAACGACAGCAATCACATCTTAGTGATATTTGATAGTAAACTGGACGTTTTGTTCACATTTTATAATCAAAATGACAGATGAATTAATCGAGGATACAGCTGTATCAAGTTCAAATAATCCTTGGTCACCCCCGTGTATTAAACTGGATGCAGGGATTGGGATTTTTCGATTGATAAATTACCTCTGCGTCCCCACACTAATTATTTTAACTGACTAATCAATTCAGCTCAAACCACCAAGCATCTCGCTGCGTTAGCGTTTGATCGCGCGACCGCGGTGTCGCTCAACCGCAGCGGCCTCCACGCGGCGGTCAGAAGGGCCACGGCGTCCCCCACACAGCAGCCAGCCGGGGAGCAACGGCCCCCGGCTGTTGTTAACGTTAAATGGACATCAAGTAGCTTGACCCTGTATGAGTCACTATTTCAACACTGAGGGTAAAACACAGTGGTCGTACTGCACACACACACACACACACACACACACACACACAACACACGACAATCACTTTAAGTTCCTAATTCCCACCTTGCACACACACACATTTACACTTTGCGGAGGGGGGGGGGTGTTAGGGGATGCAGGGCTCGTGTGAAAGCACAGTATTGGTCTGTGTTGCCATGGGCAACAGAAGGTGAAGGGTGGGGGGGGGGCTTCGCATGGGGGGGGCGAGGACTATTAGGGCACACCAGCAGGCTGCAGCCACATCATTAAGCACACCAAGTACCTGGGAGTGACTCAATTCTAACCTTGTTTGTGTGCATGCGTGTGCGTGTGCGTGTGTGTGTGCGTGTGTGTTTGTGTGTGAGAGAGAGAAAGGAATAACGCTATAGCTTAAAAGATGGTGAAGCCAGGACAGTGATGGAGGATTCGGAGGCAGGGACACGCTGTGGCTGAAATCTCTCGGCAAATTACTCTATTACTATTTTTAATGGCACATAATTTGTAGTGGTAGAGCCAGACGTGACGATGTGTAGCTGCGTGTCAAAGCGAATCGGCCCCAGGAGGAAAACAGCATTGGCAATTCCAAACAATCAAGATTGTCCTAGATTTATTTTTGGGGTTTTATTTGTTTCATTGCTCAGTGGGAGAATTTAATCCCGGTCAGAATCACCATCTCCATAGTGACTATTATACTACTTATACTATTCTACCAACTAACAAAATTCTTCAGGATTTTTAGCTTAGATTTAACTAGCAGCTCTCAAAGTGCTTCGATGTCACTGAAAACTATAAAAGAAAGTCTAAAACACGCTCTGATCATGACCCAAACAAGCTTACTATTAGCATGCTAGCATTCGCTACTTAGCACTAAGTATAAGTAGAGCTGAGGCCGAGGGGACTGTCATTGGTTTCACGGGGAGTTGGTCATAAACCAAAATATTGGACCTTTTACAATTTTGAGCTTGAAGAAACGTTAAAGCATCACCAAAGTTACAGCAGATCATCACAGTGGGAGGGGGGGCAGGGGGAATGTCTGGACCAAATGTCGAGGCAATCCATAAAAGACCTTTGCCGCAGAAGAAGAAAGAAAGTCAATCTCGCGGTGGCATTATTAAGCTTCATTAACGGACTTTCCCAAACGTCAATATGTAATCCGTATCCGCGTGGGAAGCGGCGGCCATTAGCGACTTGTAAACTCACGACGAAACCCCCCCCCAAACCATCGCAGGCATCCTCAGCTTACCTGTGAAGCCCGGGAAGTATCGCTGCAGGTCAGAGGTCTGCACTTTGTCTGCCAGGATGTCCGTCTTGTTGAGGAAGAGGATGATGGAGGTGTATAAGAACCAAGGGGAATGGATGGTGGTGTAGAACAAAGCCAGACTCTCGTGCATACGGTTCTGGAAACAGAGACAGCACTCTCAATATATTAAGGGAGGGGGGTGGAGGGGGGGGGTGGTGTATAAGTAATAGCAAGACAGATCTGGATGTCTGAGGCAGAGAGGAAGCAGTCCTTTAAGGAGAGAAGGGGGAGCAAGGGGGGAGGAGGGGTGAAGGAGGGGTGAAGGATGGGGGCTGGGGGGGGGGGGTTTCTGAAGCACAAGGGCCTCTGTGGAGGTTAATGAATGTTTTTGGCGGACTGAAAAGTGCCAGTGACAGATAAACGGCTTAGTTACAGGGAGGGAGGAAGGGAGGGAAGGGAAGGTACCGAGGGCGGAGGAGAGATGGGGGGAGGGCGGAGGAGAGATGGGGGGGAGGGGGGGGGGCGGGGGCACGTTTTCTTGTGCAAGAGTGAGACCTGCTGGTGGACGGATGAAACGACGGCAGTGACAAAATGTTTGGAGGAGAGTGGACGGATGAAGGAGGGATGGATGCCCTCCACTACCTTATTATTAGCTTATATTTACCACAGTTATATAAATGTTCTTGTTACTAGTTCACTTTATAATACCAGCATCGGAGATTCTTAAATATTGAAACGACTAAACCTTTCTTATAGAAGAAGCAGCTCCACCTCGACTAATTACATTTGTGAAATCCGGCACACGTGAGCTAATATACAGCTGCAAATGACAATTTTATTTAAAAGAGAGATATTTGATCCTTGTTGCCGCTACGATATACTGTATACAAACAAACCACGGTGTTATTATTGTATTGTATTAGTGAGTGGTGAGTGCGCGGGTTCTTACGATGGTGTCCCTCTCCTCCAGCACCTGGTCGTACTCGCTCAGCGAGGCCAGGAAGATGAGCGAGGTGACGTTCTCGAAGCAGTGGATCCACTTCCGACGCTCCGACTTCTGGCCGCCCACGTCCACGATCCTGTCGGGGGGGGGGGGGGGGGGGGGAGAAACCCCCCCCCGCAAACGTTACGGCGTGTTTGGGATCGAGGAAATTATGGTCCAGCCAAAAAAGAAAACTGTGTTTGGGTTTTATCTCCATGAAAAAAAATGTGAACCCCCAATCAAATGGCTGTGGAATGATGCGTTCCTGATATAGGTCAAGATGGATTGATTGATTGATGCATTCATTTCTCCAGTATTGTATAGTATATGTTCTCCTAGTGATTAATTCCCATTGTTTTGGGGTCTGGGAATTTGATTGTGGCCAGATTTCAAAGTGGTTTCTTCACATTTTTTTTTATAAACGCTGGATCCGGCTTTTATGACTTTTTAATATCTTGCAAGTGTGCAGACCGGACACGGCCATGTGCACCACGCGGCAACAAAAGCTTTTATTTTAGCGTGGGTTATTTTGATTTAACGATTTGAGAGCGGCTGCCAATTCGTTTGGGAACACGGCGTTCCTCCGGAGTTAACTTTGATCTTTGTCTGCTCGGGCTGTGGTCACATCCCCCTCCGCCTTCCAGAAAGAAGCGCGTTATAAATAAACCCAGAGAGAGCGGCTCGCTCGCCGCCAAGGTCTTTGATCAGAAATGTGATCCCGTTGCATCCGAACAGGTCAGAGCAGACAAAGCCTCTCTTCTTCTTCTTCTTCTTCTTCCTTTCTTTCTTTCACGCCCCGACAGGTTGGTAATCTGAAGCCCGGCCCACCTTAGCGTGATTTTGTTGATGGTGAACGAGTAGTCGTGGATGCCCGTGGTGGGGAATCGAACGCGCAGCACGTCCTGCTCTGTGGGGATGTAGTCCGGTGCGGAGATGCGGTCCAGGTTGCTCATGTAGCTGAAGGTGGAGGAGAAGGAGAAGGAGAAACAGTGCGCTAAAGAGTCTTGTTCGACACAACAGGAGACCTGCAGTAAAACCTATTGACTGCGTTTACACCAAAGCCGCCATCGACCGCGTTAAACTAACCGAAGGGACACGAGACGTACGATGGTAGAAACATTTTTTTTTTTTAAAAGAAAAGATATTAAAGGTGATTAGAAACACAAAGAAGGGAGGGGAGTGAGCACATGGGGGCCTGTGTACAGACGGCTGGCTTTATGGCCGGTGTTGATACAAGCTGTCATCAGCCGCTGCCTGTCTCTTATCACGCTCACACCGCGGTGATGGAGCTGCTGGGTAAACACAGAGCGGGGCGGCAATAGAAAAGAGAAAAACCTTTGTTCGGTGACAATCACACACTCGGATACCACGCTTTCTTTTCCCCCTTTTTGATTAAGAAGGACTCGACTTATCGCGTTTTTTTCCCCCCCTAATCGTTTTTTTTTCCTGGAATACTCTGTAATCAACTGGTGGTTTGAACTTGGCAGAAGAGAAATTGCTGGAAGCGACACGGTGTGCGAAGGACTGGCCCCCCCCAGTGGTCTCGGGACAAAATAACTCTGAACTCCTTCTGGGTGCTGCGGCGACGAACAAGGACGTGGGGCTGGAACCCAAAAGAAGCCTCTATTGTTTTCGCTTGACACGGCAAAACGTTAAAGAAAACACTACAACTGAGAATATATTAGAAGCAAGACTGAAAAGATGCAGCATCTCCTGGCCTCCTCAAAGCATCCACGTAAAAACAACTCGTCCAGACAGCTTGTCTTAGCCCGTGTGTCCATTTGTGAGTTTTGGGTCAAAGGTCAGATGTGGGGCATAAACAAAGATTAAAACAAAATGTCGCCACTCGCTCTCTTGTGACACACTATGTTGTTTCTTCACTGCAGATATGATGCGTAAGTCCTTAGCGTGTTCTGATCTACGCCTCTTTGTCTTCAGGGTGATGGCGCGTGCACACGTTGATGTCTGTGATCGAAGGTCATCGTCCTAAATCAAATACCTTCGTTTTGAACCTTCGCTCGGTCGACCAGTTTGAAAAATGTCGTTTTTCATGGATCGAATCACGAAATGAAGAAATAAATCACGAGATTGATCAATTTCGACGATGAGTAGTCAATATACATAAATACATACAGCGTTCCATCCTGTGAGGCTCCCACTGAGACGCAGCCACTTACTACTCTGTGGAGTCCAGCAGCTGGTACTCGCACCGCCGGCTGTAACACGCCCGGATGCCCGAATCGGCCCACAGGCGGCGGATCCCGTCGACGTAGCCTCGCTCCAGCTGAGAGACCTGCACCGTGTTCACGTCCCGCAGCCACGTGGCGTACATCTGCAAGACATTGGTACATGACGGCCTCTGTGCATTTTGCTGAGACCTTACAGACCTCATGGCGGTGACACACTGATTCTTTCTGTAGGCCACGACATGCTGAGTGTGCGCTTCTGCGTTTGATATTTCTTGTTTAACGCGGACACAGTCTCACTATTCTAGTCGGTGCACTCGCCCCGATGTGCGCAACCCTCTGCTGACGTAATTGACTGTTGAGGTTGTTGAGGTTCGTATCTTTTAAGGTATCAACCAAAATAACTCCTCCAGTGTAACAACGCCAGCAATCTATCATTGTTGTGCCACATTGTTTTTTTGAAGCAGCAGTTACAACTCAAACAACTAGTTGGTCTCGCCTGCCTGCGTACGACTCTGACCACAGAGAGGCCCGAGCCCGCGGCTAGCAGCTAGCAGCGCTAACAGCGCTCACCCTGGAGGTGGTGCCAGCGGTCTCCACCTGTCGGTGGAACCGGACAACAGCGGCCCGCCTCGTACCTCGTTCTCGGGATTGTGGTAGGGGATTCTGAGTGTGGTCATGGCTCCTGTCATGGCCTTCATGGCGGTGACAATGTTCTGGAAGATGCATTTGGCGAATGTCCTCCTCTCCTCCTCTGAGAAGCCTCGTCCGTGGATGATCCTCATCTGTCGGATGAAGGTGGTTTTTCCGCTCTCGCCGGTCCCTGAGGAGAAAATAGAGGGCCAAAAGATGATGATTGCGGATTCCGTCATCGGGGTAGAGGTCAGCACTCAGGAGTCAGGAGGCCAAAAACAGCTGAAATGAGAATCTAACCCAGTCGCCAGAAAACCGGACTCCAAATCAATGTCCCTCTGTGTCTTCTAGATGTGCAAAAGATTCACTTTAAGAGGCCATAAAACAATAATAATGTAGCTTTCATGTAGCCAGTGCTATACAGATTGTCTACCGATTGGATCTCAGTTCTCAGCTAACGGTGCTAAAGGAGCTAACAGTGCCACCCACAACTGAGCAGCGCTACCGGTGCGTATTCCTGAGGAGGTAGAAAGAAAAGAAAAGGAGTTCTTTTGTCCTTTTGAACAGGAAACGCAAAAAAAAGTTGATTGATTCATGTATAACAATAACAAGCTCTTGGTATTCGCTACTATGGCAACTCAAAAGCAGGATTTTGTTCAAGTTACAGTAAGTAAACAGAGCAGTAGCGTTAAGTTGCCAGACGCCGAATTTTCTCTGAGACACTCTGTGTTATTACAGCGTCATTTCTCAAATACTTCCTGCAGTCAAGTGATGGAAAGATAACAACTTGTGAACCACAACGGTAGATCAAGGTGACTGACCGGCGCTGTTGAACCGGACGTCGCTCTAACAGCAGCACATTCTCTCTTTGCTGGTAGCGCTCAGCCTCAGAGTTAAATGGTCTCGGAGATAAAAAGAAGAACTCCATTAATTTGCTCTGATAGCCTGATTTTAATGACAGCGTCTTTTATTCTATCTCTGTTTCTGTGTCGCTGTGTGTCAGCCACCTGCAAGAGGAAACGGAAACCCTTCTCAATCGACCAAACGCTCGCCTGTCACTAAACAGCGTTTAATCCTCCAACCGAACGGAGGTTTGGAGGATTAGTTCTTCTATTGACAGTCTTGGGCAATGATTTCATGTTATTGTTTGTTGTCGCTCCGTGTGATCGCCGGGTTTCCCCCAGGACATTTACTGGAGGTGGTAAACACAATATTTAATGACTCACAACAGCAGGAAAACAAGCTGTGCACTTACATACAAACTAAAGAGTCTCATTGAACAGATCGGGCCCCATTGTCAGCGGTACTCTGATCCAGCTGTTTGAGTCACACACGGCCCGATTTCTGATATTGGCATGCACATACGTGCACCTCTACAGTCCGTGTGTACGTCTCTGACTCCACTGAAACATCAAGCAAGGTTAGGTCCCGGGACCCGTCCGTGTCTTCTCCGTGACACACAAGTCTCTCTCACCCGTCTCCGTTCACGCTGCCCTCAGTCAGAAAGTCATCCAACCAGCTGTTGATTCCGTGATCCCCATCTGGACCACACTTTGCATACTCACCCCGTGACACATAGTTGTCTCTGCCAAACAGGCCAAGCAGTTTTTTTTTCTTTCGGTCCCTATATGGTGCCGCCTTTCTCTGGCACTATTACAAATTGTACTTGCCTAATTACTTATTTTTGCTGCTGTGTTAATTTTTTATTTGTTTTTTTGCATTTACATAACTCGACAAATCTTGATATCTTTTGATATCAAAAGGGAACAAACGGTGCTGCGTGTGTGTGTGTGTGTGTGCGTGTGTGTGTGTGTGTGTGTGTGTGTGTATGTGTGCAAATCACTGACCCAGCAGGAGGATTTTGATTTCCCTTCTCTCCTTCTTCTTCTGCTGCTTGAGGATCCTCTTGATCTCTTTGTCCACGGCGATGTTGGTCTTCTCCTCCTCGGACAGACAGCACGCACAGCTGCGGCGGCACCACAGCCAGCAGCCCGCCATGGCGAAACCCGCTGAAATGAGACTGTCAATGAATAATCCGCCTTGTATGTAATGAGCCGATAAGGAGCGATCGTAAAAAGCCCGTCGTCAAGTTGCGCGGTGGCCATTTGATTTTTTTGATTTTTGATTTTTTTCGAATCACTTTCTTAAATCCACTTTCTCATTGAACCCGATCTTATTCTAAACCCACGCACCCGGAAATTTGACTTTTGACTGCGCGCACGCAAACAAGTCGGAGGCATTAACTTTTAAAAAGGAGGCGGTTTATAACGTCGTACACAAGGATCCCGCAGTGGTTTCAAGAGGAGAGTTTAGAAGAAGTTGCAAAACAGATAAAGAAAAAAACGCTCCTAACCTCCAAATCAGCCCGTCACGATCCCTGCAGTCGAGCGGCTTCACGCGCTGGTCGTCTCGCGCTGTCCATGTCCCACCAGAACCCCCCCTCCGCCCCCCACACACACACACACACACTCCGCCCGCGCACCTCCTCCCGGTCCACCTCCACCTGCGGCTGACAACCTCGGGCTTTTTCTTTCCTTCTTTCTCTCTCTTGCTCTCTTGGCCACAGAGGAATGCGCGCCGGTTTCTGCGGGACGCTGGAGACACGCCGGAGGAGGAATGCGCTGCGGGCCGCGACGCGCCGAACAGCGCGGCAAACCACCGCGTCAGCGCCAGAAGCTAGGCGCGTGTCCCTACAAAATAAGAGCCCGCTGATTACATTTCGAAATCGTTCGTCGGAGAGCGGTGCTTGGAGGCAACGTGTCCGCTGTGCAACGGAGGGAATTTAATAGGTTCTGGTTATAGTTGAAAGAAATAGTGTAATATGTTTGAAAAGCCTCACACGAAAGTAGGGGTTTGTGACGCAGACTCAGATCAAGATTTAAATGCAAAACATATATTCATTGTAATAAACTACTATATAGTAAAAAATAACCGTCATGTCTCCGACATTTTGCGTAAAACATTGTGAATTATCTTCCTTTTCTCATAACAGAATTCCTTAATGGAGGAAAAACACCTGCCATGCGACGTTACTGAATTGTTACAAACATGTAAAGTTGAACCCGGTGTACATTGTGAAGGAGTACAGCTATTCCCCCACAGTGTGTGATTTATTGTTGATACTGACCGCTCCCTGGAATATTGTTCCAGAGCAAATACCGATAGTTCATCAAGAGTCCCCCGTGACGTGAATGCATGTGACAGAACACACAATGCTGTTAAAGCCGCCCAAACCACAGCATGTGTTGGCAGCAAGTTTGATGTAATAGCTCATGTCAAACAACTGAGCTTCCAATGGCTGAAGCACCCGGTTCATTTTGTATCTTGAATTTTTGTTGGTATCTTTTGGCGTTTGACGTGAAAGGTACAGTTCGTGATAACATGATACTTTCCACCACAAACATTTCTTTGGCACATGGATTTATTTCTGAAATCATGTTAAGCAATAAACAACGTCATTTTATTGACAGAATCAATTTGGGTCACTGGGGCATTGTAGTATCTGACAAAGAGTTAACGAGGTATAACAGGTCAAAGGTTCTTTATTTATTTTCTATTGTAGTGGGGGGGTTGCACCTATTATTCCACAGCTGTATGTCTTTTGTCGACTATACATTTATTAGATAAAGTGCCTTTCGAAATGTGTTTTTTAATTTACTTCGATGTCAATTAGTGTCCGACCTGCTCAACCCTTATTTTGAGCAGCATGTACCGGAAGCTGTCGTTGTTTAATTCCGCGCGTTTGACAGCAGGCCGATTGATTGGATAAAGTTTCTGCAGCGGCTCAACCTGCTTCGTGTTTCAGCTGAGGCAGCTGGAGCGAAATCACGGGCAGAAGTATCACTGAGTCATTATTTACATAACCCCATAGTTTCATCTTGGCACTGAGCAGACAACATTTGAATTATCCTGTATTACTTGTTTGGTGTGCAGTGTGCATTTAAACGCGTTACTAGTTTATATTCATTTAAAGTAATCAGCTTTGTACGCTATAAAACATCATGAAAATACTAACATCCAAAGCATTTAATCTTTTTGTGTAAAATATATGTTTTGTCATATATTACATCCACAGGTAAATAAAACAAAGTCGCTGTGGTGGACTCAATATGAACACATACGTGCCTTTGGGAATCCCATCAGAGGAATTAACCACCCGGAACGTGTTTTTTGAAGCACAGGTGAAGAGCTCAAAAGGTAGTTAATCGCTCCTCCTCGGCTATTATTTGGGTGTCAATCTTTTGTCTCAGGCAGCAGAACCGGTTGGTCCAGCCTTTCATTGTCTCAGATATTGAGTTCACCTGAGCTCTTGAATTGCCATGGGAACAAGGTGAGGCGAGAGACCAAGAGGCAGGCGTTTGTGAACTTGTGGCATGTTGCACTTCACATTATGAACTTTGTTTTTCAAAGCTGTTATTCCTCTAATTTAAATAAGGTATGTATTAATGTCTGTTATGTATAAATAATACATTAATAGTAGTTATTGTGTAGCGGTGGTGTTAACATCTGTTAACTAATGTTCCTCTCCACACTCTCAGGGATCCAAGGTGAAATTAATAATTATAAAAAGAGAGAGATAAAAGAAGGAAGGAAGGCAGGAAGCAAACATGGAACGAAGTGCTAAAGAAATACTGCATATCAGGTGTGGACTGAACTAGCGGGCTCCTCCTCCCACTTACAGGAAGTTAAGTGTCTGCGGGGCCCTTCGTGATGGCAGAGGGGATTAATGCGAGTCTGTGAGAGTGATAGGGCCCTTTAAACGATGAGGTCGTCTCCGTGCAGGCGTCGTATCGTCATCGTTACAGGCAGCAGCAGCAGCAGCAGCAGCAGAGAGCCGGGCAGAAAGAAGAAGAATAAGATGACGCGTGAGGAAAAGAGACTTTGTCCTCTGTGGGAAACAGACGGCGATCAATTATTAATCCGACACTGTGACACACAGATGATGGAGCACCGCAGTCTGCTTCCTTTCATGGTCCGCACTCAAACTTTTGCTCGGCAGGAGAGAAAAGATTTGAAGGCATCTGTTTTTTATGGAGAATGCATGAAGGGATTGCCTGTAAATGTCAACCACAATTCAAATTCAATTAAAGTAACTATTACTTGCCCTCCTGGAGCAAATACTTACTTGTTCACTACAGCAGCTTTCTGCATCTGTTTTAACTGCTACATATGGTGCCATAATCCCTATTATTGTTTTGCCGACCCCTGAGATTAATCTTGTGACCCCTTTGTGAACTCCCACCCCCCAGGTTGGAAACCATTGTAAAACAACAGTAATTTCTTACTGTCCGTTTTTGTTTAACCTCAGTCATAATGTCGGGACATATATTGATTTTCAGAATGATTGTTCTTTAAAAAATCATTAACAAAATGTAAAGTGAGAAAGATAACATGTTTATGAGTTATAAAGGTGTTTGTGAGGGATTCGGCGGGTGGTTCAAAGTGAATCAGAGGATTTACCAAAGGCTGAGCTGCGGCCCTGCATGTGAGATAAGGGAGGGTCAGGCTGTAATCTCATGAGTCATGACTGGAGATCTTCCCGATCGCACCGAGAACGGGTTCGTTCATACCTGATGCTCTTCCTTCTCTACGTTTATTATCTCGGGCAGTCGAGCTTCGTTATTATCTCGATAGAGAGCTATCGTTTTGAGCCACGAAGACTACAGTGTACTCCACGTGCATCAATAAATGAAGATTAAAACATGATTTTAACTCTGATACATTCATTGGGATGTTCCTTCTCCTCAAAGTAAGTTCCCGGTGTTTAGGTTAGATGTTTCGTGCTTGGAACAGCTGGAAAGGAAGCGGCTCCGGTAAAGGTCACACTCACACAAGCACTTATCTCCTCAGTATTTTTGTCAGATTCCTTTGAGGCTTGTTGAAGCTCAGTCGTGCAGCTGCATCACATTTCCACAAGATGTCGCTTCGCTCAACAGTTCCGTCCGCCAGTTGGTTTCAGACGACCTGTCAGACAAGTGATTTCTGCATTCACTTAATGACATCATTACCCAGTACATGGGTGCAATTATGAAAATACTCCTGCTTAACTTCCTTATTTACTGCTGCTTCATCCAAAATAGAAGCTAATCCAAGGAAATTCATTCTACCTTTAAATCAAAATCAAGCTTTACCTTATAACATTACATTGATATTTTGTTATTGATTCATCTATTTTTTTTCATCCCAATTTAGATTAATCACTTCAAACACAACCGTGTAAGAAAGTGTCAGCCTGCACAGGCGGGGCGAGAAATTTGGGAACGGCACCTGGGAGGGCCGATGGAATTCCAGGGACGTCGTGTTCGATCGACCTACGTGCTGCATGATAGTATAATAACATAATGGTAATAACTCTACTAGGCCAGTAGGCCAGTCTGCATAATGAGTTGTTTGACTTCTAGAACTAAAGGTACACTTTAGTATTAATACTTTGGTATTTTTAGTTTTACTACACAACCCTTCTGAAAGCGGACCAAATGAATAGTCAAGGAACCGAAACAGGATATTCTAGAGTCACGTACGCAAATTAGCATTTTTAGAATGACACATAGCTGGGCCTAAATGACTGATGACTTGAGGGAAAACAACTGTGAAAGTGTTCTGTTTATTTGAAACTTTTACTCTTTTCTTTTACACACACGTATGCATCTTGTGTGTCCAGTTACAAAGTAAATAGGAGACTTTGTGTTTAGAAATAGGTGTCCTGGGAACGTTGGAGACACTTGACTTAGAAAAAAAGCCACTTCAAATATTGACTGTATATGCGATAAACGTAGAATAGATATAAACGTGCAAAAATGAACCCAGAAAAGTGATACCAACAACTAAAGCTGTTGGAAAATTAGTGGGGAAAGAACAATATTTGCCTATGAAGTATAGTGAGGATTAAATGTACCAATTAAGCATTTCAAAATAGAAGGCTACGTTGCACATACTTGAATAGTATTTTTTCATATTTTGTATAATTTTCCTCGCATATTGCGAGTTCTGGATCCTTGCAAATGTGTCCCTGTATTTCCTTTTTTTCTTCAACAACGTTATGGCTAATTTGTATGTGAACATCTACTTTGCAATAAAAACTGATTATAATTGTGATTGAGCAAATGCACTCATTTCCCCTGCTTGCAGGTGGATATCTGATGAAGGTTTTTGTTTAGCTAGTGGGCCTGAAAGGCAACAGAACACAGTTTGTGGCGGTCCTTTGACAGGAGATGGGCGTCGCCCCTCCGACCAAACGTCTGTTGCTCACGCGGACACGCCTCCGAAAGCAGGACTCCCTCTCAAGCAAACTTGGGAAGAGTTAACCGTGCGGCAAAGACCCGCCTCAAACGCCGGCACGCTCTGCTCCCATTCGCGGTGCGCCTGTCAATCAACTACATCCCACACGACGTCAGCGCCACACCGGGGCTGAGGAGTGGGTGACGAAGAGCAATCACCACCACCAGGAGAAAAATACCAGGAGCGATAAAATGCACGGACTACATGGGTTAATCTGATTGTTAAATACTCGGTCAGGTATTTTAAGGGTGTGTCCCCGGCGATGTCTTTTTGGAGGTCTGTGTTTTAACAGAACAAAAGGTCCTCTGTCAAGCCGGGCTATCTGTTTTTTAACCCAGTTGGCTGCTTTTTTTCCAAGGGATGGCTAGCTGAGCTAACCTAGCTGGCTAACAATTAGCCTCTCCCATTTAGCCACACTAGTCCCTCGGCGTCTCCGGTCTGCGAGGGGACAACTAACCCCTCCTTTCGCCCAACCGCCAAGCAGATATTTTCGGTGGGAGCGACACGTTGGCCATTGCCCGTCGAGTGGTCGTGGCGTGGCGGCGGTCCTTCCCCATTCGCTCGGCAGATGGACAGTTTGACGGGCTCTCATCGTCACTGCGCGGGCGTACGGTGTTGGTTTCGGGGCGGCTAGCCTTGTACTCGGCCGGGCGACCAGCAGGAGGTGGATTGGACAAATGTGGCAGCCAGTGCTGTCCCACTGTCTCTGGGACCGAAGTTGGTAGTTCTGGTATAAAAAAACAAACAACTGATTTATTTTATTTTGTATTTTAAATCCTTGCGGTGTTTGGCGAACGAGCTTCGCGGGGAAGCGATTCGACGCGTTCGGGCACATTGACGATCCATCAAGTTGTCACGTTAGCTCGGTTACAACGTTAGCAGCTTCTAGCCGACGAGCTACTTGACGTTACCCGAACTCGTTTTCAGCTTCTTTTTTTGTTTTATCTTGAGAAGCTCGTCCAATAAAATGTTTCTTCCCACGTTCGGTGGTCCTCTCAGAGGTTTGCGAACATGTTGCTTTGCACGTTTTGTGTTCTAAGCCGCCGGTCGCTGTAGCCCGAGAATCTGCAAAAGACTTTGACGTAGCTGTCAAATATTTGACCCTCTTGAGTTTGTTTTGTTGTTGTTGTTGTTTTTTTTTATTTCTTTTTGGCATCAGCCAGCCAGATTCCTCACCAAGCCGCCCGGGCTCCATCCGCCTGGGTGCGGATAAAACTAGTCCCAAAACCGGACTGCTGCTCGTTTACCTGTGGGTGTGACCCCCTTGTTAGACGGGCTCCTTTTTTTAAATTTTATTCCTCCTCGGCTCATGCGGTGATGACTTTAGACTCCATGATGGCTTGTTGCCTGAGTGAAGAGGCGAAGGAGTCCAAACGAATCAACGCCGAGATCGAGAAGCAACTCCGGCGAGACAAGAGGGACGCGAGGCGGGAGCTGAAGCTCCTTCTGCTGGGTGAGTCTGCACCATCGCACCGGTCTCACGTTGGCTCGGCTGGACCTGTTTATACACACACGCACACGCACGCACACCAGATGGGGCCTGGGCTATTTATTTGATTGCATTGTAGAAGTTTTACATGCAAAGCACTGTCCGCAATTGCCCAGGTTACCACAGGATTTGTGTGTGGTGCGATATGCAAATCAAAGTGTGTGTGTCCATCGCGTCTAGGTACTGGAGGTGCAAATAGCTGCCATTGACACAAGAGGCTTGATAGTATGCTGTGTGTGTGTGTGTATACATGTAGGCTGTGCCATCCTATAAATGTATGAATGAAATACCACCATGTTGTCTCTACTGTGCCTGTATTTTCCATCTTGGATCCTTTCTCTTTTTAACCCCCACAGCTTGATTAAAGGCCCTCTGACATTGTGGGGTTTGTGACAATTCTATAAACCGGTCATACAACCACTCACAAGATGGTCGCAGTCTGGTATCACTTCCTGTATTCGATTGTGCAGATCACAACATGATCCCAATGAGATAAGCTACTGCAGAGGGAAAAAGGGGATGTCTTTTTCTTTAGATTAACTCAATTTAATGAAATGCCATAGGTTATCTTACGTATAGCCTCTTACAACCAGCGGCCAAGTTACTTCTTTTATCTGCCTGTTACACGTGGCATGCAGATTTAGAGTTTGTTTTAATTAAGTCTACGACGAGAGACCGAATTCTCCTGGTGTCTGGCCGAGAAAAGCCCTTCGCTGAGGCGTCCCGCTCGGGGAGGTGCCTGTTCTCCAGAGAGGAGGCTCAGCCATCCACAGACCACCGTTTCACGCTTAATGAACGACAGCCAGTTCTTTTTTTTTAATGTAATGTTATGTCGACACCGACAGCTGTTATTCCACTTATTCCACTGTGGAGTAAAGTTTAGGGTTGGCTGCACGTCTGCAACGGCGTCCAGCGCGGCAAGGCGTAGTGGTGTGGGACCAGTAAAAGATTTATCTTAAGAAATAACCGTTGATGTTTATGAGTGGAATCGTTGTCAGAACCTCAAGGGAGCCGAACGCTTTGAATCCGGAGGAATGACAAGTTGCAAAAGTAGGGAGATGTTCTCATTTTATTAGCTTGTGACCCCGATCGATCTTTTTAGAAACCGTGTTTCCACAGAAACGTTGCTAAATAGATGGGCGGTGGCTTTTGTGATCTGGCCAGATGTTAAAACGGAATAAATCGCAGCGGATTCCAGGGAGGCATCAGTCATCTTTGCTCCTCTCGCGTCTAAACGTGAGAATGCGATTTGTGTGTTTTTTCTTTGGTTCACGTCGTAGTTTGAGTTTTTAGTATTTACTATATTTAATGCAGAAGTCTATTCTGTGTTTTCTACAGTCGAAGTCTATTCTGCGTGGCAAATTCCTCTTTGTGGACAGTCAAATTGAAGTTGAAACTGCCCAACTGGGAAAGTCCTTTTTTTAAATTTTTTTTAGTTTGGGTAGATTTTTAACCATTAACATGCTTCAGCTGCGTTATGGGCACCTCCTGGACCCTGGTAGATCTGACTCTGTTCAGATGCAGTCATGTTTATGATCTCAGACACATACGTGCTGCTAAGGATCAACAGACTTGTTTAATCATATCCACTTGATGGAGCGAATACAAAATAAGAGACATCGAATTGCTGAAACCAGTTCATGTTTTGATGAGATATGACGTCTCGGCGGGACTGAATGTTCCATGATATGGAAGCTACTTGTCAAATGGAGAAGAAGAAAATAATGGTTGGCAACCAACAAAAGACATCTGTTGATTCAGTTGGCCAACATATTGCCAGACATTGATTAGAAATATAAGAGTTGTTGACGTAGCAACGTATTGTTATTGTCCTTCTCTTCCTGCTCAGAGATGAGACGCTGGGATGGTGACTCACTCAAAGACATCCGTCCTCATCTCAAATCTTTTTCTTTTTTTTTGATGGAAATGATTGCGGAAGTGAGTTTTTTTGTTTTTACATTTTTCTTATTCTGCTGCTTGTGGTGAGTCTTCTTCTTTCCCATTATTTAAACCTGTGTGAAAAGGATCCAAGCACTATTTAGCCTCTACAGAATGAATTATAGTGCACTCCGGTTGTCTCACTTCATTTGGAACCTATTATGGACCTCTTTTGAGCCTTTTTTATAGAGCTTTTTGCGCAAAGTGCCGCTTTTTATTGTGTTTCTTGGCTGCATGTCGCGTCTTGAGTCTTTTCTCTTCGATGGCTTGTCACTGCTTAAATTCACTGGGAAGAATTAAACAAACTTCAACAAAAGCTAGAAATCAAGAACCTCACTGACATAGTCATTCTCTCTATATTATGAAGCTTATGCTTAATTGGTAATGTTTTCTTGCCATGTGACCTACTTCCTCGTGACCTTTTTTTAAGGAGCATTGCTGTTTTTAAATATTTTTTTTTTAGGATTTTCTTTACAGCCGTTATCAGCAACGGGCTGGCTTCCCCCAACGGTTAGCCGGTTAGCTCGTGCACGGTGGGAATGCGGTCGGAGGAGTGCTCTGCCGCCTGCTGCAGCTAATGAAAGTCACAAGTAATTAAATGTGTACGCCCGGAGCCCGGGGAGCTACCGCAACAACACAACAGTGTGTGCGCGGCCTCCAGCACAGGACCTTTTTAAAAAAAATTCTGTTTGACTTTTTCTAAATGTGGGAGTCGGCGCTGATGTTCATTTTCACATTGATATCTTCGCTGATTGAAAGGACACTAAAGTATATCCTCGTGATGGTGATGTACTGCCATGCTCCTGTGATATTTTCTTCAATATTTTTCGTCGAGAGAGAGTAACTCGTAATCTGAACCGATCTCATTCTAACGAAAGAGGAAAGCTCGTTTGTGCATCGCGGCAGTGTGCAAACAGTCCCTTTTACTTCTACAATGTGGATCTGCTGTTGACTGAAGGTGAAGTCATACAAATGAAAACCTGTAAAACTTGTACTAATGCAGTGATGCACAAATGCTACAGATTTCCACCTTTACTGTGGAATTCTGTCCATATTATACGACTCTGTGATAAAGCCAGCGACTCTGGAGCATTCAACTTGAAGACTTGTGTAGAACTTTTTGTGTAGAACCACAACTGACTGAAGTCCATTGTGGTTCTACACAAAATACCACTCTATTTTTTCTATATTGAGTTATTCATTGTATGTTTGGTGAACCACCACAATGACCCGCTGTGACACGCACATGATGTCATCGATTGCCCATTTAAAAAACAAACAAACATTGATTATAGCTGCTTCAATACAACAAAGTTTAGGTAAGTCATTGACAGGTTTGGGTTATTTTCCATTCACCAGGCCAATAGAAGAGCAGATTTAATGTCATCAGTGTCAAAGAACTTAACATAAACCGGTGCATTACATTTACCTGAATTCATAACATACAGCACATACTTCCTTCGTGCACACCGCTCAAACAGGCCGGTACTATCTGGGTTAATGAGTGTTTGTTTTTTGGCAACACCCAAGGATGTCTCCTTCCCGGAGCCTACCTACGCCTACCATGGTTTCTCTTGGCAAGTCTTTCAGTAAGCCAAGCAGATAAGCCCCGTGTTGGCCATATTTATTTGGGTTCCGGCTCGCTGCTGCCAAGGTTACGGCAGGCATGGCGCAGTTGGGCAGAACTCACACACTTTGCAGACGGTTCAGATGAAACACACACACACACACGCAGCGAGAGGATAGAATGAGGAAAAAGGAAAAAGGAGGTATGTCAGAGTACGAACAGTGGGGTCCTTGGACCGTCCCGTGGTGCCAGACACTCATCGTGGGCGCAGGTGGAGGCCCCCACCTGCATCCTTGGTCCCCGCAACTCAACGTCTAAAGGCGAAGGCTGGCGCTCAATCGAGGATCGGTGAAAAATGTCATTGCTGGATTGCGAGACTGTGGCGAGTGACCGGCGGTTAGATGGGACCAGTGCATAACGGTTGATGGTGAAATAGTTGTTTATCCGGCGTCACCTGTTCTCTGGGTTCGGTTCCCTTTTGGACGTAGCTTGTGTCTAAACGGATGAAACTTACATCACAGCTGTCGGTGGGACTGAATATATTTTCATAATAAATAAATAAATAAATCCCTGCCAGGACGACACAGTTGTCCTGTCACCAGGATGTGCTGCCTGCCATTGGAGGTCTAAAATTGTTGTTTTTTCTTCTGGTGAGCATTCTACGATTTACAGTTGATAAAACAATTTATAGCTGAAATGAAAACTTTCGGAAGTCATTTTCAATCGCTTTGCAGTGTTGCTACTTTTCTCTGTCATGTGATTTAGAGGAGATACAATTAAATTGGTTGGTTGGTAAAAACTAAACTATGCTTTGGTACAAAGAGAGAAATATTTCCACTGTCTGTCCACTATTTCATTTGCATGTTTGTTCAGCTAATGTTAAATGTACTTTGACAAGCTTTGCCTTTTACAGTGTGTCCGTTCGGTACATAAGAATGTTGAACTGTTTATTCTGAAGGAAAGACAAACCACGCACTGGCCTTTTGTGGGTTTACGTTACCCGTAGGCCATCATACTTCTCAAATCCTACACATTTTCCCAAAGGGAGGAAAAAAGCATCCCACGATCCAATCTAATATTTTTATTAATTTAATTTCCCTGCTTTATAGTTTCGCTGTGCAAGCGTCCCCGCACAGTCTCCTTTTGGATCCGTCTGTGTGCAGCCAGATGAAAAATGGGAGTTTCACGGTGTGGTACGAAGGCACGACAAGTAGGTGTTGGTAGTTGCGCGCTGTTTGCCTGCCGGCTGCGCTGGTTGAGCAGACTGATGTTGACACACCCTGAGTTTCAGCAGTTATGTGGCAGTCGGGCCGGCCAGAGACGGCTTGGTGCGTCTCACGTAGATGCGCGTGGTCCCGTTTTAAAGCTTCTCGTGTAGCTTAATGTCTGTGTGTGTGGCTGGTATTTTCTTCAAATGGGAACCTAAAATGGGGTGAAATTATTGAGTTGACAACTAATCTTCAGAATGATCTAAACTGGACTAGACGTCTTGTGCGTGTCCACTGATGTCCCATGTAGTTGTAGCTGTACATGTAACCTGTGAGAGGAGGGGTGGAGGGCTTCCATCTTGGGACAGTTGCTAAACAATTTGGATCACTGTTAGACCCACACACGCGCACCAGCAGGGGTTACTGTACTCGTAACAGCTACACGCACTGGCACCTGCCAACATGCAATCCAACTATGCAACGCTCTCGGCCGATGGACAGACAATGAATCTTGCGGTTCCAGGACTCGAGCAGCGCGGTGATCTAGAAGTTACGTTGAGCGTGCGTTGGTTCGAGTTTACTTTGGTGTTAGCAGCAGGTCTCCAGAACCAGATTAGGTGAATTACACAGCGCTCGTGTTAGCAATGACTTTGTTGCACTGGGGATTTCTGTAGTGTTTCGGGACTCTTATGTTTGCACAAGTGTGATGCCTGCAGATACCAGCAGGAAGGCATAACACCCTCCAGGTACTGTTGAATCTTTTCCTCCTGTGTTTTTCTGCTTTCACGTACATAATTGCATTGACTGAACCAGTTTAAGGATAGTCGAATGGGTTCTCAGAAAGCTCAGAGAATCCACAGTAAGGATGACTGCAGCTTTTTCTGGTTCAGCATGTTCAGCAACACTCAAACGCTTCATGTTTAATTTGGCACCCGTTAGTATGTTTCAGATTCCTCAAGCTCACCGACTCTTTTCGCTCATTTCCCCTTTAACCCCCCCCCCCCCCCCAAAAAAAAAACACCGTGCACACGAAGGTTGTTTTGAATCTGCAAAGTAACGAGAAATTACCGGTCATAACTAAACCAAGGACCCGGCTCCAGCAGCCCAAATGTTCCTGGATAACTTTTCTCGGGCAACTAGAGGCATCAGACTGTGACTGTTCCTGCACAGGCCTTCGGCAAACCTTCTAAGACACGGAGCCGAAAGGGACACGGCTTCCTGTTTTGAAGCCATGTCCACTTTTGGTTTTAAGGAATCATTGACTTACCTCCTCCACCACTCTGTCACACCTCCTTCCTTTCCCTCTTGTCTCTCTTGTCTCTTTTGTTCTTTCCCTTTCAACGTGGCTGCCAAGCGCTGCTTCAAAGTTATTGCTCCTCGTGTAAACGTGGAGCTGAAATGTCTTCTGTGGCCTCCAGCCGGCCCGTCCGAGCCAGGATCCGTTTCAAGTATTTTGAGTTAATGGTTATTTAACGAACCGACTGACTAATACCCCGGTTTAGTGTGGCACGCTATGCCGATAGTTGAAAAGGTATCGTGATCCCACTGCTACCACAACTCCATTTTATCCTCGGAGGCACTTTGACGTACCTGCGTTTGGACACTGTTCAGAGAACTGTGACTGAGTTGCGTTGATGCGGGACAGTTGGTGCGCTCGGCGCTCTGCTTCATCTCCCCGCAGGCACGCTGTGCTTTTTTGTTCTGTTCGATGTTTATCCTGAATTTAATTAGATAACTCTAAAATAGTTTGCATTTATATTGTTGCCGTTAAATTATGAATTTTTTTTTTTAACCTTTTCCGGCGGGGGGGTTCATGTACCCAATATTCAGAAAATAAGAGAATAAGATGCTTTTTATGTTAAATATAAATCTCCATGTCCATTAATTGCTTTCATAATGTTTTAATCCACGTAGACAGAGAATGGAGCTGTGGATTTGGGATTAAGATTGCACTTTTGACTCTGCTCTGTGGAGACGTACTCGGGGCCCATCAGCAGGTGTTTTCTGCCATGGATTTAGTCCAGGACAGGAGTTGCCATGGCAACTAGCATTACCCCTCGGGTGAATGTACAGTTGCCTGTCTGTGATTAAAACGCTTCTGCTGGGTTTTCCAGTTGGGAAGGAGAACAATGGCATCCGTTGAATTAAGCTGACGATGCCTCCAGGACGGGTAGGCATCGTCATCGTTTTTATTCATGTAGTCCAAATATTACAAATCTCACATTCTTCCCGAATAGGGCTCTCCTATACGTTTAGGCGAGTGCCACCTGTTGTACTTTAAACCCTGACTTGACATGCCACCCCTCCTCTGGTTGTGTGTGTTTGGGGTAAATACAATCATATCGGAATACACACACATATGATGTATCCCTATCAACCCTTCATTCCCCTGTTTGCAAATAATGAGAGTGGAGACCATGTAGAATCGGTACTCTGCCCTTTAGTCAGAAAGTGAACTCTGCAGAGGACTGTGTCCTCCACAACTGCTATTTATGTCCCTCTCTCAAAAACATGGTCTGTCTGAAAGGTGGGTGAGGGGAGTCTGCTGAGAGACTCCTTCACAGCACACTAAAACTGAGCTCTCCTGTCAAACTTGACTCTTTGTCCCCCCCGAGGACGTCTCAGCGGGTTCGTCTCTGGAGAACCAGCTGCACTTGTCGGCCCCGGTGTTCTACGTTACAAGCGCTGCGCGTTTCCCCTCGTCTCTGCTTTGTCTCCGTCGGACACATCGGCGGCAAAGTGGATCACTAATAGGGGTGGGGGAAAAAATCGACTTAGTTTTACAGTAAGGGGGCGGAGCCAGTCACCATGGTCTCTATACCTTACAAACCGCGTCTTTGGATTGGCTGGAGTGATGCATTCACACAACTATAGAAGCCCATTTCCGCACTAATGTAAGGGGATAAAATTATGAGACAAAATGTTGTCAAAAAACAAACGCCCCCCTTCGGTAATCGTAGTGGACCGTAGATGACAACCAGCTACAACCATAATTTACCATCATTACCGGCACATTAAGAGCAAACTCAAATTTGAGAGAATTTAGAAAATCGAGATGCATCGATAATCGTTTTATCGGGTTAGAATCGATAATTGGTTAAGAATCAAATCGTTGACCTCAGAATCGAATCGTGAGGTGCCAAGAGATTCCCACCCCTAATCACTAAGTCCCATTGTTACGTTGCACATCTCTGAAACGCTGGTCCACATCTACTTCTGACTTTTTAGGTTTTACGTCCCTTTCGCAGTCTTGTGTAGCGGCAGCAAGTTGGAAGAGGACCGGCAAGGTCAGCCTGTTGCAAAGGCCTATTCAAAACAAACGTTTTTTCTTTCCATTTGTTGTTGTTGACCCCTGTAGCTTACCAAAACCTTCTGTTTTAGCCCTCGGGTCATTTTCAGTTTTTGACTAACAAACCGTTTTTTTCTTTTCCTTCTTCCATTCAGGGACTGGAGAGAGTGGCAAGAGCACCTTCATCAAGCAGATGAGAATAATCCATGGGTCAGGCTACACGGATGAGGATAAGAAGGGCTTCACCAAACTGGTCTACCAGAACATCTTCACCTCCATGCAGGCCATGATCCGTGCAACGGAGACCCTCAAGATACCGTACAAGTACGAACAGAACAAGGTGCGTACTTGTGGCGCCGAACGTTCGATTCCCGCCAACTCAATGCGCTCTGTTCCGTTTACGGTTGAAGAGTCTGCTGTGGCCTCTTGACAAATCCCCAAAAAACCAAGTCCTTTACGGAGCATTCTGGTAGAGGCTGCTTCATGAATCTAAAATGTGTCCTTCTAGGAATGAAGCACTGTGGAGCAAGTCAACGTGGCCAATATAGAAAGACATTGGACTCTCCGGGTCTTTTTAGCTCCTGGCCGCCGCCCACTTTGGAGGCGATCGCTTGTGAATTTGCCTCACAAATACTCCGTTGTTAAAGTGGTGCCTTTCTTGCCTTTTGTGTTTCTCGTTTCCCCAGAACAACGCCCAGGTGGTGCGCGAGGTGGACGTAGAGAAGATTGCCTCGTTCGAGCAGCCTTACACCAGCGCGATAAAGATGCTGTGGGCCGACCCTGGCATCCAGGAGGCCTACGATCGCAGGAGAGAGTACCAGCTCTCCGACTCAACCAAATAGTACGCCCACGATCTTTGAATTGGACGGATTGGCCGGTTGCTTACTGTGTAGATGTGGTATTGCTGCGTGATGGTGAAGAGATCTCATGCCATCTAGTTTTCAACTTGTATACATTCGGAATGACACCACAAGTCAGACCAAAGGTTTCCAGATTTTAAGAGATCTTTCTCCTCAGTTTCCTAAGTGTGGTATCATGCGCTCAACTCTAGGAAAGAAAAAGAGAAAGACAGTTGAAGTGCACGGGGAGAGTCATGGAAAAGGAAATGTTGGCAGATTTATAAACGACTCCTAATAATATCCGAGCTAATTCCAACCTACATTAATCCCTTTCAGACTAATGTGGCTCCCTAAAGTTTAGGATTGTGGAAGGGGGTGGGAGAGAGAATGAAAGCTTCCACAATGGTCCAACTACATTTAGCCGCTACCTCTGGCCCGCATGCAAAGTAAATTTTGTTTGGATGTTTTTGCAGTTTGTGCGTTTTTCAATGGTTTGTGTCCGCTTGCTGCAAACGTGCGCAAGATATCCTGTGCCTTTTTTTTCTCTCTACAGTTACTATAATGATTTAGAGCGAATTGCATTGCCGGGGTACACGCCCACTCCGCAGGATGTGCTGCGGGTTCGCGTGCCTACCACCGGTATCATTGAGTACCCGTTTGACCTGGAGGATATTATCTTCAGGTACCGGTGTCGAGTGCCCCGCCGGCCGGTTGAGAGCCTTGTGCTGCACAGGGCTCAGCACTTTAACACGTCCCCGATGGTGCGCTCTCAAAGACGAGACTCGAGGACAGGCCGCGATCCTCCTTTCAAGTTTTGCTGCAAAAAAGGCATTTTACTTTCATCATTTTGGAGTCAAGTTGAAAGTCCCCTGTTTCCGCAAAGTTCCACAGTGAGCTGCCTGAAATGGACCGGAGGAAGAAACCTGACGAGAGTTTTGTCTTTGGGAGCTGCCGTCACGGATGAAGCTGTATTTCTAAAAGACCATTTTTGGGGGTAGAGGTACAAAACGTCACCTAATCCCTCCATAACTCTTGGGAGTTGGCTTTCTGTAGTTCCATCTGGCCTGATCCACTTGCTTTTGGAGGGGGTGGGCTGTTATCTGCTGTTATGCTTCACTTTCTCTTCTCTCTCCCCCCCCCCTCTTTGTCTGTGTTGTCCTTCCTGTCTCTAGCTATCTAAGTGATCTGGATCGTATCGCTGAACCGTGCTATCTACCAACCCAACAGGACGTGCTTAGGGTTCGAATCCCGACCACTGGGATCATAGAATACCCTTTCGACTTGCAAAGCATCATTTTCAGGTAGAACAACAACACTCCTTTGACTAACTTCTGTACCCCACTGGTGTTCAGCATGTTTATAGCTTTATGTTCACGTTGTGTCTGAATGCATGTCCACGGTGTTGACTGGTGTGAATGAGGCGTGACCCAGATCCCTTTAGGGTTAGACAGTTTGATTTAAGAAGTCTTGGTTTTGGCTACAAGTCCGGTCGAATCGTCTCGCTGGCGTTGGAAGGTCAAAGCCAGCAATTCAAAGACCTGGGGGGGTTGTGTTGGACAGTTTTATTTTGGACCAAACTGTTCATTGCCGGAAAGGCTTATAATAAAAACACACATCACTTCCACATTTTAAAATGTATAAATGCCTCTGCTTGGCCTAGATGACTGTGATAACTGAAATAATTCCTTATGGATGCTTCATAAAAAAATGCTCCAGCGGCAATTTAGAAATTCAAAGGCTCCCCGTAGTAGTGTTCCTGTGTAGTCCAGTCCGCCTCGAGGACCTGCCACCAATCCCAACGGCCCAAAAAACCCAAACAATGAGAAGATGGAGTTGGACTCGGCGAACAAGAGCGATTACAGAAGAGTGTGAATCGATGGAAAGCAGTCATGTCCGCCTCCTCCCCCTCTTGTATGACTTTAATTTTTTAAAGTGGAAGAAAAGTTTCTCTGGCTCAAGCTGGCGGACCGTAAGAAGCACATGTGGCGTTCTGCGGCCTCTGTTTACAGGCCACGGCACCGTAGCGGCAACAAGGAAGCCTTTCATACGCGCGTCTCCCTCTCCGTTAATTGGCTTTTGAAGACACAGAAAATGTAATTTCACTTGGCCTATTCAGCGTAGGAGAGCTTGGCTTACTAAGTAGGTCACTCATCCTCGCCAGAGGAAAAAGGTCATCTCATGTGAAGGGGGTTTTATTTTCTGGCTGGCTTCTGGAGGGCATTATCAATGCCCCCCCCTCCCCTCTTGTGGCAGACTAACTTGAGTTCACCTTTTGTCTTTTGAATGATATTTGTTGAATGATATATTCATTATCTTGAATTTGCGATTTCATGAGCAATGAAATCAACTGTTCTGCTCCTCATTCCATCTTAACCTTAAGTCTCATTTTGATTAGATTTCCTTTGTTTTATCCCTCATTTGGAGGGAAACCAAAACATGGGAGTTAAAGAGCAGCTTATTCAAGAGTCCATCTTCATCATCTCCATTAATCAGCTCCTGATTAATTATCTCACTCTTCTCCATTTCTCCATTACTTTTAATAGTCACTCTTTCCCTTTATCCATTTTCTTCAACAACCACTCTTTAGCTCCTCTACAATATAATCTCCCTCACGTTTACTACCTCTTCGTCAGCACAACAATATATCTCCTGCATGAATTCTCCTGCATCTACTTTGCTGAGGGGGCGGGCATTGTTTGTATACGCGCTTCCTCGACGTTCCTCTGCTTGAGCATAGAGAAAGTTTGCTCTGTCCTCTTTATGACTCACGCTGCACACTCTCTGTGGCAAAGGGGCGGTCGGCTTGAACCACGCAAGGCTCGTTAGATGTTAGTGATAAAGTCCAAGCAATAATGACACCACGCTGCCTTTTTTTTTTGAAAGGCATTGATTGGCCACCACTGGATACAAAGCGCAGTGGAAATAAAATATGCTTTATACAAGATGAATGCCTCTTTGCACTGATATATTTCCTACCTGTAACTCATTGAAGTGACATTCCTCCTCTGGCTGCCTTTAGGGTTCAACGTTTAAATGTAATTCTCATTTCATTAAAAAGTGATTCTTTTTCCTCCCATCGCTCCATTCAGGATGGTGGATGTAGGGGGTCAGAGGTCAGAGCGGAGGAAGTGGATCCACTGCTTCGAGAACGTCACCTCCATCATGTTTCTGGTGGCGCTCAGCGAGTACGACCAGGTCCTGGTGGAGTCGGACAACGAGGTGAGACGGCAGCAGGCGCGGTTAAGAACGTTTCATGGGGGCCGCGTTCATAAAGATGCTTCTTTAGTCTCCGCTAACGCGACGGCACAGGAAACGCTCTGCTTCAGCCTGTTGTTTAGCTCTCGCAGGCGTCAACTTTTTAACCTTCTAGACCTGATCTCCAGCCGCAACAGTGAAAAGCTCCGATCAGAAGCCGGCTGTTTAGTGGTGACCAAAAGAGAGGAAATGCGGGCGAACGTTGGTCAGCCGGCCGGTCGTCTGAGCGTTTTAAGCATTTTAACAGATAGAGAGAAACTATAATGGCGTTTTCGGGTGGGGAAGTAATCAAATCTGTAATGTCCTGCTTCAGATAGAGCACATCCCGGTACGAAGGGAAGGGAAACCCCGAGTTAACCCCGACCGTACCGCCATAACTCCAAATCCTGTTTGGTGAGACGGTCCCCCGGTCACATGACGGATGGCTTTCATACTGTACTTTTATCTCCAGCCTGCTCAGGTGTGGAGCCTTTATTGTACACACAAGGACAATTTTATTTTTCGTATTTTTTCAGATAGCTGTTTATTTGCCCCGCCTCTCCTCATAATGTGTCAAATGGTCGCAGGTGGCGGGCCCCCGCACGCACCGTTCTGATTTTGTTACCGAGCTCCGTTTTCTAAATGGCCGCCGGCTGAGCCGAGGCCCGAGGCGGCAATAAGGCGTCTCCGTCTGCGGGGATTATCCTGCCGCGTTGACAGGCCCGAGACCGAGACTTTGACCCTCCAGAGCAGTCAGAGCCTGACGAGATTGTCTTCAAACGTCTTTGATGTCATCGGGTCGAGCCTGGCGAGGATCAGGCTCGCCGAGGACCGACTCGGGGAGGGAAAGAGGACGACGAGTTTGAGCTTTTAGTAGTTTGCACGAGTATGTTCCCGACTCCAATCGCTCTGCGTTCTAGGTTTCCTCTTTGGAGGAGGAAGTCTTGTGTGTGGATAAATGAATATAGCGGGGGGGGGGGGGGGGGGGCGGTGTCTTCAGCCCTTTCTGGGGTTGTTTTGACAATCGTGAGTGTTCCCTGACTGTATGTCATCCATTACTGAAATATCCTGTATTCTCTGTATGCGCCGCATTCCAAGTGATGTCATCCAGCTGCAGTCCATTGCTATTAATAATCTACAGTTTGCGCCGACTGAGTCGGGCAAACACAAAGCCAACACAGAACAAGGACTAAAATATTAAACTAAAATGGCAATGTTAACAATTATAATAAGTGAGTAAAATATTATGTTTTTTTGCAGGTTTTAATTAATACACACAAGTGCTTCCCTTAAATGTTTTTGTGTTTTTCTTTGTCGCGAAAGCTTAATTTTTTATTTTCAAACTGGATTGTTTATTTCTGGATTACAGCACAAATCCAGTGACCCTTTTGAGCAAAAACAAAGCTGACAAAGTTTATTGAACTGGAAATCACTCAATTCCATTGTGTTTTGTTGCTATTACCACTGTTTAGCTTTTAAAGCTTTGAATGGAGACCAACAACAAATAAGTAGCGATAGCAGCAAAAACGAACCTTGGAATTACAGGCTTTACTTTCTCACATTCTGTCTGGCTGCCAGTGAAGCAGCTGGCTGCCACTTTTCAGCACTGCTTTGGCAGCGTTTCAGAGACACACAAAGCACTGTTCATTGTCGGGGCTGCTAATTACATTTTAACCCGAAAACATTAAATTATCCTGAAAATAAAAAAAAACAAAATGCCGCGTAAAATCGATATTAACTGTGGAGAGAGAACTTATTACATCCTAACCTCGTGTTTGCCTTCCTGCTTTCTCCCCCCGTCTGCTTAGAATCGAATGGAGGAGAGTAAAGCTCTGTTCAGGACCATCATCACATATCCGTGGTTCCAAAACTCCTCCGTCATCCTCTTCCTCAACAAGAAGGACCTGCTGGAGGAGAAGATCATGTATTCCCACCTGGTCGACTACTTCCCGGAGTTTGATGGTAAGTGACTTTTTTTTTTTTTTCATAAGGCCTGATAAAGCCGGCCTATCCCTGGTATGGATTACGTAATGCAGGTCCACGCCATTCATTAAAATGAATCCAACGATTCATTTAATGAATTATCCACGCCGAAGTTGAGCCATGGGCCGAGCTCCGTCTGGAATGCTTTGACTGGATTTCTTCAGTGTGCCAGAAGGGCCCTTTACAATTACAAAGATCAAGCTGGCTGTTTCTAATCTTAAAAGTATCCCAAAAGTGTCTGTTGTTATTTGCAAACACAGGCAGGAACCTTTCAATCCTATTTTTGATGGTACAGTGACACCCTGTGGCTGTGAAGCTTTACCACAACACAAACCGTGATGTACACAACGGAAAAGGCTTGTTTAATTGTTTGGCGGCTCTGCTTTTTAATTAGGATGTTCATATAATTATGATGAATTGCACAAAGAAGCATGCAGACATTGCAGCTAAAACATATACCGGTGTGTTGCTCCTCCAGGCCCGCAGAGGGACGCGCAAGCCGGTCGCGAGTTCATCTTGAAGATGTTTGTGGACTTGAACCCCGACAGCGACAAGATCATCTACTCCCATTTCACGTGCGCCACCGACACGGAGAACATCCGCTTTGTCTTCGCCGCCGTCAAAGACACCATCCTGCAGCTCAACCTCAAAGAGTACAACCTGGTGTGAAGAGGGAGGGAGAGCAAGACCTGCAGGCCCCCGACCACCACCACCATCACCACCACCCCCCCACCCTCCCCCGGCCACATACACACACACACACACACACACACAATGCAGAGTCCCACACATCTGCACACACCGCTGCTCAAAGAGCTTCATTCTTTACCAGACCAACACTATCATGTACTGTTTCTTTGCCTATCTTTGAAAAAGAAGAGTGTTTGTGTTCTTTGTGGCTCTGATAATTGCTCTCCTTGTACAAAAACAGTGCTCCTCTCACTCGTGCCCCCCCCCCCCCCCCCCCCCCCCCTCTCTCTCTTTTGGTCATTTGGGCCCCGCTCACATGTTGTTGTTTTGTTTTTAGTTTTTTTTCTTCTTTACACTACATTATCACCAGTGCTTGTGTTTTGAGGCGGGATGGAGGGCCTTCCCCGGGTAGAAGGGGCTTTAAAGGACAAATCCCCCCCCCCCCCCCCCCATTCTCATTTAACCCATGCACGCAACACACTACAGCAGGAGGGCTGCAGAACCAGGACCGCTCCCCTGCAAAGGGTAACTCACTACGATGTTGGGCAGTGCCGGGGTGCAGTGAAGTACTTGGTTCCCCCTGCGTATTGATTTGTGTATTTGAATCCTTTTTTTCTTTCTTCCCAATCAGAGCACAGAAACTGGTGAATGTAAATAATGTTTTCATGCTGCTCACACAGAGTGAGCGCTCTCTGTTTGAACCTCTTCGGCTACGTTGACTTCTTACTGCTTTTGATCGCCGATTACAATCGAATTGAAGTTGACGGCTCAAAGAAATGAAATGCTCCTCTTTGCAAGTGTTAACGTACTTGGTGAAACGTAAGAACTAGGAGACGAGCGCTACCGGTTTTTACATGCTGTTTATCGACACGCCTGTCCTTTTGTATCACATTGCCAAAATTAAAACCACCGACTTTTTGTTTCTGTAAATATAATCCGCTATCTGGTTTGTCCTTTTCAAGTGTTCAGATGCTAACAAATGTGTTTGGAAACAGGTATTGCAGAAATTAAGTGCTTCAATAATTACTTGGACCCTTCGACTGTTTTTATTTTTTTTCTTGTAAACTGTCTGAATCACACACTCGTATTAATTAGAACTGTTTTATTTTCTGTTCCCTTTGATGCTGAGAATGATCTTCCTGTGCACAGTGTGGATGATGATACCAGATCAGTAGAGTGCAATAGTGGGTTGTAGATAGTTTTTGCGCTGATCATCCTTACGGCTTCTCTCTGTAATCCACCTGATCTTGCAGTGTTATTGGGCCGACGTTTGATAAACCTTAAACGGATATTAGAAGAGTGAAGTTTCTTACATCTAATTCAACATGGGTGGTGTTGGTGCAGTAAATAAGACTCCCTCCCTAGTTTCAGCCCCAAAAGTTTTTCCCACTGAGACGGGAGATTTTTTACTGCTGTGAAATATCACAAATATTTTATGGCCGAGTGTTTTATCTCTGCAATTCTGTTTCGCCGTGTTCGACCACGGTGGGGGTGAAATAATTCTGTCGGGTTTGTGCTTCATGCAAAAAGGAAAATTGAACCAGACCAGCAAAGTGGTTGGATACAAACCGTTCATGGATGCTCTCATTTTGAATAAGTTTGGTATCTGTACCGTTCCCATATCGCGTCTCCTGGTAGTCGTTGGAATATTCCATTTTAAGCTGAACGCTGACAGGTGGCGATTTCTGTCCTCAATGTACTTCAGGTAAGTCGTTTTCATCACAAGGGCTACTAGCAGCTTCGGTAGGAATGACGCGCCTGGCTATCCAAACCAAACCATCCTTTTTTCCGGTCCATGAGTTCTATGCTGAACTTCTTGGCTTTAATATTTTCCACTGTGTGGTTATGCATATTTGGCTTATCTTCTCATGGGTAGCGTTCCCATGTTGGACTTTGGCATCGTTGGAGTGGGAAGGAGGGGAGTTCTCGGGACATTTTGACCTTGACGTTTGACTTTTTTTTTTTTTAATGCACATTCACAGAGCCGGAAGGGTCAGATTTGAACATCGGAGAGCGATTACAGATCCTGCCGTTCTCCCTCCTGTGTATCTTTTCTGAAAGGGTTTACAAATCCAGAGAAGCAGTGGGGATCTGCTGACATTTACTTTGCCTTGGTTTCATCCACATGCACCCATCGTCACTTCTTTAGTGTAAGCGTGTACATCGTGTTGATGAAGCAACTTGTGTGCATCCCGAGACGTGTATACTTATGCGCAGTGCCATCATTTTCCATGACTTGAGACAACATGTCCCGTTGGTCCCCGCGAGGATCTGGTTATTTAGCGCGTCGGCCGTGGGTTAATCTTTGGTGCTTCGGTAGACATTTAAAGGCCTGTTTTGTTTCTTTCCGAGTCAATCGTGCACGCTTCTCGCTTTAGAAATGAAGAGCTCATGTACCTTTTTGATGTGCGGATGAATAAACTAGCTGTCAAACTGTATGAAATTCTTGGAGAGAAATGTTGTGTTCTGGGATAACATGGTGTCTTTTTTTTTTTTTTCCCCCCCAACTATCCTCAGCTTGGCCTTCAGGAAGCTCACGCCATTCACACTTGACCCCCCCCTCCCTCAACAGTTTGTTATAATTGTAGATGAGCTAAATGGACTGCTATGAGCACGCTTGACTAAATGAAGGTGACCGGCGTTGGCGCCATGTTGTGCTCTTTAGGAAGAAAAAGGTTGTTGGATCAGGTTTCCCATTGCCGGCTCATTTTTGCGCTTCACCCCCTGTCCCGGTTTGCTCTTCGCCGCCCGCAGGAGACCGACGCCGGGAAACTCCCGTGGCTGCAGCACCAGTAATGAGAACCGGGTCGTTGTCTTGAGGTTTTGCACTTAATTTTGCTTTGTTCCGCGTGGAATCCATTGTGGAGAGTGTTTGTACGAAACACTGCGCCAAACCAAATCAATCGGGCACAGACGAGCTATTAAATAATGAATTAATAATAATTTGTCATCTGACTCAAAGCTGTGGTAACCCCCCCCCACAAAATGAAGCTAGTGTGTAAAGCCTCAGTATTAATGTATTTATTGAAACACTTCCCAAGTGAAGGTACTGAAATGGCCATTTTATAACATTTTGGTGGTTGTAATTGTGAGTGACGGAATGAATGAATATGCTGTGTGTTTACATGTCTGCCATTCTGACCACCCCCTCCTGCCTCCCCCCTTACTTGATTGGACTGTGTGTTCTCTCCCTGGGTCGAAGGCACTGAAACTGCACCACTGCGACGGGCCTGCATTCATGCAACTTGCGTGTCCGCTCAAGCGCACTTGTCGGTACTCTTTGAGGTGTGTGTGTGTGTGTGTGTACACTTTTAAAGGCTATTGCTTAACGCTTGAGATCCATTCTGATTCGAGGGATGGACATACAGTGATATTAAAGGCTCTTTGCATCGTTTCTTTTGTAAGGTTGACACACCTTTTACGCGTGTATTTAGGACCACTTGAGATGACACTTTTTTTAAGGAGTTCAAACAAACTTTGTGTAGTGGTGTACAAATTGAAAGTAATGTATTTTTGTTTTGATTCTTTTTTTTTTCTTTTTTAAGTATACCAAATGTAAATTATGTACAATGAGTGTGCCAATCCCCTTTCTTTGTATAGCCAGACTCTTAACAAGTGCCAATGTTGTGAAAAATCAGAGGGCCTGTGAATTTCAAGGTCCAGTTTTTAAAAGAAATAAACACTTAAGTATGTGATTTAATTAACTAGTAAAAAGGACAATTGTATTCTATATTTAAGATTATTGATGAACTGCTGTTTTTGAAGATAAATGTCATTTTAATTGCATGTGTTTGTCAGGTTGGGGAGGGGTGGTGAGATACTGTATTCATGCAACGCCCCTCACGAAAAGGGTCCTAATGGTTATTGATTTACAGTATTTTGGCCATATTTCTTTTGTATGTTTCATTTCAACCACTGTTGCCTGAACCTCATTCAAACATGAAATGATTTTCATAGCCTTCTCCTTTTAAATGTTTTAAATTGGAATAAAATATGTTCCTATACCCGCTTATTGCGTCCTTGTACATTTCCTTTGGGCTGAGATTGATTTGAAGGCCCATAAATTGATTGTATGTTACTCAACTGCCACGATTTTTCAGGCCACTAGTGATTTGAAATCTGACTGTTTTCCTAATTTCCAGAACGCTTTTTTTCATTTTTACTTCAATGTTTATATGAAGACCATTAACATAACTTAGACCAAATAAAACCCAAGATCGGCTCTATGAACAGCTTCATAGTTTTTAGCATTAAAGTCAGTGGCAACATTTAAATGGGGGGAAGGGGGAACCTCTCTGAAGTAAAATAACCTGTATTTTTTATTAAATTTACTGAAATATGCACAACTTCTGATTTGATTCCATTTAGCAGCAATGGTCTAAAACTGCAAACACTAGCTGCTTGTACATTAATGTGAACATTGCTTAATAAACAAAGTTAGACAATTAGCTAAAATTAAATATCTAAATTCTTTATATGAATAGAATATTCATGCAATGTGCCACCCACCTGTCCCACGATATTCATATAATGTAATTTAGTAGTGACTTTAGTGTCGTTGGTATTCGGCCGTGCGGTGACCTTCCCGCGCGGGGCGCTGTCTGCCCAGACATCCGTTGGGCCGGCGGGTGTAGATCCGCTGCGTTGTAGATCCCGCGCCGCTCTCTTCTAGCCGCCGCGGTTCTGTGTGGGGGCGTTTCGGTTTCTACCAACCCTCCAGCTTCAGGGGGGCGCGCGGACTGACTTTCCAGCTCCGCCGCCGCCGCTGCCGAATCTTCCCGGTCCCCCCCCCCCCTGGACCCCATCCCGACTCGTCGGATAAAACGTTTAGAGTTGAACCCCCCCAAAAATAGCTCGTGTTTCAGGTTGGATAATAAACAGCCGGAGCGAAGATTGTTTCCTTTTCACTCGATCGACTCATTTGCGTCGGTCGGACGGCGCGAAGGGGGGTTTCAACTTAAAAAAAAAAAAAACGAACCCGCAGACATTTTGTTATTTCTGAGAATTTTGCGTTTTTTTATTTAAATAATTGTCCTACTTTTTTTCCCTCCATCCGCGTAATCGCGACTGGTTAAAAGCGAGCGAACGGACCGCTTTAAAAGGACAACCACAAAAAAAGCGTAGGAGGAAACCATTACACCCCCCTCTCCCTCGCCTCCCTCCCTCCTCCCCCCCCTCCGCTCACCAGCTAAATCCAAACACCGCGGTGTGCATAACGTTCGTAATTTACATGCGTTGAGCTCGCGCGTTGCCCGGTGCGTAGAGGCGGAAGGCTCGATGGATCATTTTGACTGACAGCCTCTGAAGAGTCAGCTAGCTTTAGCCAGCGAGGAAGCAGCGCTGCCGGGTTGCTTCTTTTTTTCCTTCTTCTTCTTCTTCCTCTGTTCGCAGACACGGAAAAATACGGGTTCGGGACGGGTACCGCTACGTGACACTGACTCTGTCACAGCGAAAAAGACGTCAAAGTATCGCTTGTATTTGGGTTAATTGTTTGTTTGTTTTTAGTGTGGGGGGCTCGGGGGGGGGTTGCTAGCTACCGTTAGCTAGTCGTTCTGCTAACGCCGGACGGCTCCTGTATGCGGCGGGGCTAGCTCTGGACAAAGGACCAACGCGAGGAAAATTATAAACACGGAGCACTTAGTTGATCGTGTTCAGGAAGGAAAGCAACACACCAGGAATTGACATGATGTTTCCACAATCAAGACACTCAGTAAGTGGTTTTTAATTCGACGTTTCTTTTCTCCATAATGTGGGTACTTGTCCTGCAGTAACCGCACACCGATCTACCCACGGTAACTAGGTACGGATATTAAGCTTGTTGACATTATGTTAATTAATCGGAGGTTTTATATTATATATTTTTTTATTTTTTTGGGACAATAGTCACGTTGTTCTACAACTGCGTTGTTTTAGTTCTGGTAAGTTGTGCGGAATATGTGTGGTTGGGGATTACAAAGACACCGATGCATTTTCTTTTATTTAAACCGTTAAACTTTTTTTCCCGGCGATGGCATCTTCCAATTCAAACATCTCCGGTGAATGCTGTCCTATTTCACAGCTAGATGGTTTTCAAACCTAATGTGACAGTGTATTTTCCATAAGCAGCATTCACTAAAAAGCCTTAACCAAATGTACGTATATTCAATATACACATACCTTTTATACACGATGTTACAGTCATCGTATGGCTACTGAACTACTCTAAAAAACAACAACCAAAAAACAACCTTCACTCTTGTTCCTTTGACTGTAAAAATCACACACCTCCTCGTTCCCCTAAATCTCAAGTTTCCATGGTAACAGAAACTAAGTCCAGGGTATGTATCAGTGACGTGGGCCCTCATTGGTCAAACATTCATGTTAACCGACTGGCACAATAGTGTTTCTCGTCACTTCAGGCATATCCAGTTGTGTCACCACTGCTTTCGGCAGAATTTCTTGTTGCTGGCAAACTCAATTGGCCTCTCCTGGCTGGGCGCAGCAGGAAATTTGTCCGAAACGGAAATATGATGGTGGTGACATACCTGTATTTCCACCTCCCTACTTTTGGCTGCCATTTCACCTTTCCGTCACGGGGACAAAAAACGAACAAGAAGCCATTTGTGTCGGTCCGGCTCAGGTTAACACAACAGCGAGATGACTGTGCCGTTGCCAAGGCCTGCGCCCCGTGCTTCTCCCTGGCAACGTCTTGTCACCGCCACAAGTACTTTTACTGCTCAAAGCGCAAGGGTTGTTTGCTGAAGCAACAACCTGAATGTCTTTTGTGCCTTGAATGGGTTTGCCCTTTGGCGTGCGTGTGTGTGTGTGTGTGTGTGGGGGGGCGCAGTAGTCTGGTTGTGACACTGCTGCTGATGCGATCCAGGAGCCGATGTGTGTTCCCAGAATAGTGCGCAGAATGTGCTGGTTTGGGAACCTCTGGCCTGGTTTTGTAAGAGAAGTGAAATCCTGTGTAAGCGGCACGCCGTCGCACCGAGTTCAACTTTAGTGTTTTGAAACCGATGAGCTGAAAAGATGGGGGAGGGTTGTACGATTTTTGACTTAAAACAAAAAGAATCTTCGGTTTGAGTCATCCGCTTACATATCCTCAATCTGATAACCGTCACTATATTAAATTATTCAGTATTATACACGCTGAATGTGGCACAATGCATTGGTATTGCTTTGCAGAAAATAGTGTCTTTTGTTTTTGGAGATTAGGTTTAGTCTTAACAAGCTGTGGATAAATGCCATGATTGTAGTCGATGGTGTTGCAGGAGAGCAAGAAGTGGCAGAGATGAAGTTGTGTGATTTGTACCCCCCCCCAGGGGGAAACCTATTAGTGAGGCTGAACTAAAAAGCCACATACCGTTGTTCAGCTTTGATAAGAGAACATATTCCCATTGATAATTATTTCAGGATCACATTCACCTGCATGTCGCTGCCCCCAACCACACACACACTCCCACTCCCCTGGGTGAAGTGGTGGAGTAGTCACCTGCTGATGGGGTGAGAACTCAGTCAGCATCTCCGAGGTGAGAGAAGCTGGGCCACTCCACTCCCGCCTGCCTGTTGTTTTTCTAATCCACTTGGGTTCCCTTATGCGGCTTGATTGGAGTATTAAGACCCAACGCGCGAGATTAAAAAACAGGATTTGGGGAATTTCAGATGTCTGTTCGCTCATCCTGCTTATTTCTTAACCTGCCGTTTCCAACAAATACACCTGTGCGCTGTGCCTCTCCCCCCCTCTCCCCCACACCCATACCCTCCCTCCTCAATTCCTCCTCCTTCTTGGCTGCTGCCGCTGTCACTGGGGCCCAAAGACTGGGAGAGCGTGTGACACTCGTATAGATACGAGTGTCAAAGATAAGGAGCCGGAGGATGAGAGAATAACGGCGCTGCCGCCATAATAACAGATGATGGATCTCTCAAACTGACTCACTCGGCACTGACTCCGCTTTCCCTCCATTTTCCTTTTGTTCTCTCCGCCGTAACATTCGTGTTCGAGTTCCACACGTATGAACAAAAGCCTCCCGTTTCCACCAGGATCCGCGCAATCAAGGAGCCGCTCGTGTGTGACGGTCCTAATTTAAAGCAGCGGGGGAGGCTGTGCTCGGCCGTAGTGGGGATGCGCGGCCACGTTGCACTGAAATAACATTAAGGCGTTCCCGGCATGAGTCATGGAAGGTGTTTGCTTTGGCAGTCCACTTAAGACGGTCTACTGAATTTTGTTCATATTAACTCTATGTGAAATGCCACACGGCTTTCGGCGGATTGCTGTAGAATGCAAGAAATCTGGCTCGGGCCGCCCCCCCCTGTTGGTATTGCAGCTGCTTTCTTTCCAGATATGCTTGTTTTTGGTTGTCACCATCATCCTCGGTCAGACATTTTGTTTGTTGTATCGGCGACAAATCGCAGGCTCGAACTTCACAGTCGTGACCCGTGGTTGGGCTTCCTTTTTTTTATAGATACGCCAGCAATTTATTCTTTGAGCAATCTGTTGCCATAGCGGAATCATTATAAAAAAAACAAAAAGCGATGACTTCACATGAGAAGTCTGTTTCACACAGTGGTTCCCATTTAGGCACAAAGAAGATTGTGGTTTAAGTGTGTCTTGTTAAGTCAATGGCTGCATTTTAATCCACCGTCCCCAGTGCCGGGGCACAGTTCATTGGTTTAATAGGGTTTGATAGCGGCACAGTGCCTGACCCGATTGATAGCATTTGCCATATGGTTTGGGTGTTGATTAATCCTGAGGCAGCTTGAACAGCGCTGGCTGCTGCGTGCAAGTGGAGCAGCGGAAACGGTCCCGGTGCCAAAAGCCAGAGAGTACCGCGCGAGTAATATGGAGGCAAAAAAAATCTGTGAAGTTCCCTGAGCCCGGGCGCCACTGTGGAGATGGCCACAGGTTGCACACACAGACACACTCCCTCCTCCCCCTGCTTGTCTCCCTTTTATCATGCGTTTCCTCCCAGATCTGATGTAGTGGTGGGAGGGTCAGGGGCAGAGGGTGCACCGGCATTATTAAGCCCACTTGAATTAACAGGACAGCCCCCAGCCTTTCCTCTAAAGCCTCCAGCTGGGGGGAGCTTAATCCCCATGGTCCCCTGTCTCGCCCATTAAACAAACTCCCCCCACCCCTTCTCCGTCGCTCCGCTGCACACATACACACACACACAAACGTGTGTGCGTGCTTATCGGTGGGGGGTATTAGTCATTGAAACACACGCACACGCACACACACGCTCATACACGCCAGAAAGCATGAGCCCAGCATCGCACACACGAACATACACTTTAGCTCTGTTCTCCGCTGGTAATTATTGCTCTAGTACACGCATAGAAATAAAAGGATTTTTCCCTTTCACTCATCAACAGCAAGGAGGCACGCACGCACACACACACACACACACGCACACGCACAACTAGACATTCTTTCCAGCCTCGAGGGTCTTATCTGCTTTTTGTATCCGAGGAACAAATTGAATGTGGGGCTTGACACACGCAAGCCAGCAGATGTCTGGGTCGTTAAGGTTAGGCCAGCTGATTAGCATGACAAACAGAACCCCGCCGAGCCCCCAAACAGCCCAATCCCCCCCCCCACCACCACCACGCCCCGCCCACCCCTAGGAGGCCCCGCTGTGGAGGGCCCAGCCCCGGGTCCCGCTCAATGATTTTGTGAGGGGCCCACTGGATAAATCAACTGCTTTGGGGGGTGAAAGGAAAATAAATGTGGAGCCCCATACCCTCCGTGCAGACCAGGAGGGGAGAAGTCTCTTTTGAATACGCATTCAAACACACTGACTTAACCCCCCTGCCGCCCCATTGGAAGAGACCCCCCCCCTCACCCCCGGTGTAGGCACACTTTGTTTTAAACGTTTTTATAAGGCTTTCAGAGCCTTTTTTACGAGATGGCGCCAGTAAGAGATTAGGAGTTACTTTGGGGGACGGAGAGCGATTCAGCTGGGGCCCCCCAGCTGGATTGTGGTTGTCATCTTAACCTCCTAAGCACGCAGTGCCCCAGGTATATGCACTCTCAACCCGTGGGACTCCATGCACGAGACTGTTGTCAAAAGAGAACCACTTGCAGGGATTCCGCCACTGTGTTGCAAACATGCCAGTTCCAGTGCGGCGGTTAGATATAAAAGGTCACCTGCAACACCTTGTTGGATAACATGCTATGTATGGGAAGACTGCAAGTGCGAATCTAGTGTTCATTACCCTTTCAATCGATACCCATCACAAGCTCCTGTTACCTGGAAACCTTGAGTGTCCATCCAAACCAGTGACCCATACACCATGTGGATCTGTGGTCATATTGGGTCTGGTGAACTTTCCCCTGGACGTCGCGTACACAATGTGCTCGGCGGTTGAGTGGTGTTAACACCGCTGCATAGGGAATATTAGCGAACATTCACTCCCATGGCCGCCGCTATTTCTGTCAATGTCTGCAAACCCATTGCAACTCCTTTGCAGTTACACAACTCTAACCATGTGGTCATAATACACAACGTACTGTGAAATATCCAACAACTGATATTGCCATATAATGAGAAACCCTTTTAACATTAATAAAAAGTTACATCTCTACCTCCTGGTTTTGCTCTCCATAAAATATGGCTGCAAAGAAGAAAGTTGAGTTAAAACATGTTTTTGGTTTAGCTCAAGACTGTAGGAGCTACTGATGTTAATATCTTTGTTCTGTGGCATTTATGGACGTGTCTGCGCACACTT